CCCCAGCTGCTCTGTCCAAGGCGTCCAGATTCAGCTGCTGTTGAAACTCATCAGCGGCTGATTCCAGGAAGCCCGGGGCAGAGAAACTCTGCCTCAGGCTTCCTGTAGTCAGCCACTGGTCAGTTTCAGCAGCGGCTGTATCTGGACGCCAGTTCCGACTTACGTACAAATTCAACTTAAGAACAAACCTACAGTCCCTATCTTGTACATAACCCGGGGACTGCCTGTATTTGTCATGTGAAAATTGACATACGCATTATACTTTGTTCTGCGTTTTGGGGACATTCATCAAGTGATTCTAAACTTCTTTGATACATTTCCAAGTCATGTTTAATAAAAATCTGTAACAACATGTAAAACATTTTGGGGATCAGAAAAAACATTGCAAAATGATGTGGGCAGCTTGAATGAGGATCTTTACATCATGGAGGCCACTTTAAACTCTTAAGTAGGGTTCAAATGCATGCTGAAAATTGGTAGAATAAACATTTGCTCAATCTCAAAGGTTATAGTGGCCTTGTTTAAACATCTATCTGATAATATCAAAGATTGAGGGTTTATTTCACATGAAATTTGTGAAGATGCTTTCTGGAGTTAAAAAACAAATGGTATGCCACTTCTGATTTTCATTTTGCCCATCTAGTCATATCATCCAGTAAGTTGATAAAGGTACATTTACAAGAATCCTCATGGTATGCTCATAGTTTACTACCTGAAAGTAGGAATAAGAGATCCTCTGGAAAAGGGCTTTATTCTGGAGGATCGCGCCAGTCTAGACGCTTTTTTCCGGCTTTTCTCCAAGCCGGAAAAAAAGCGGCGGACATGTTTATTTAAATCCGCGGGGGATATTGAAATCCCCCGCGGATTTCCCTATTCTGACTTACCTGTTTTGCATCCCTTTTCCGGAATTTGGGGCCAGTGTAGACGTAGCCCATAGGTGCCAGGCAACTCTCAGCCAACATGGGGCGATCAAGAGATTGTCTGTGCATATTCTGTCTCTCTCAATATTCCCCCCTGCCTTACCACATTTTCTGTATCTTTCCAGATTGATAATGAAAATTGTTGGACCCTCTGTAACAGAAGCTGTAAAAAAGCATTCTAAAACACAGCCTTGGAGCAAATGGTATGGTTGCATGTTTTGTGTGTATACCATTCTTTGAAATATGCAAAAGAGGCCATGCAGATAGCTGCTGGCCATAATACTTACAAACATTAAAATTACTTTTGTAGCATATAAATGCAGAAAGTGGGTATCATTTTTTCCCTACGCTGGTAAGACCCTGCGCTGGTAAGAACCTGGCCTTTAGAATTTTATTCTTCAACTGCTCCCTTGAAACCGAGAGGAAGAAACAGACATAATAGTGACAACCCCACACATCCCAATATCATTAGTCAGGCCCCTAAATATCTTCAGATTGGATTAAAATCATGAATTTTTAAAGATAATCTATTTGGCATTCTTTTTATAGGTCTTCTGTTTTTTGAGTGTTGGGGGTTCATTTTTTCAAAATTCTTTCCACATTTATGGGGGCTAGGAAACTTGTTTTCTTTCAAATGAAAACTGGGAGTCTCATTAGGAAAAACACCCCAACTTGAGACTTAATTCAGTGAAGAGTTGGCAATGTTATAAGCAGGCCATTGACAGCTAGATTACAATGGCTTTAAGATCCCAGCCAGTGTAGGCCCCTTTTTCTCTTGGCCACACTCAGAGTGGGTGTTTGCAGCCTGGCCCTGACAGTGGCAGAGGTTGGAGCACTCACAAAGGTGATTGGCAAGGGGCAGTCAGAGCAGGAGCTGGTCACAGCTGGCTGGGGTAAGGGGTGCTGACAGCAGTGGTCTGGGGCAGGCATGGTGAGGCAGAAGGGAGTAACAGGCAGCAGCAGCAGTGGTAGGAGTTTGAGAGGGAATTAGGGTGGTAGGAAAGGATGAGGGTTAGTCATGTCAGTTGGAAGGGTCAGTTACAGTGATTGGAAGGGAGTGATTATGGCAGTTGGCAGAAGGGATGACTAGGCATGGCCCTATTGGTGCTGCTGGAGGGATGGGGCACTCAGAGAGTGTATAGGGGGCTGTAAAGAGTCCATCTTTATGCAGTTCCTTGGCAGACTGGTCCTGTTACGGATGCTCCTTCCAAGGGTGCCATTTCAGATTTTGGTGGTGGGGAGGGTAACCTGTGCATATTGTGATGGGGGTGAGGAAGTGGGCTGAGAACAGGGGCTTCAGCAGTGTTACCGAGCATACTCAGTACAAACCAAGCACCAAATAGAGGGAGGGAAACCAACCCCATCCACCCTCCCACACACAACTCACCTCTATCCAGGGGCTATGACAGCACTGGAAAACTCTACTTTTTTCAGCAGACAACTTAGCAGTTAGCCTTAAGGTTTTAATGTATATTTTACCTTGTTACTCTGTGGAAAGAGAGACCCCATGAGGACTCCTGGGCTTTATCTCAGTTCTGGAAGGGGATCAGGGTCCGGTGGGTTACAGCAGGAGGCAGATACATTTTAGCTCTATATCAGAACATCAGAATGGCCAAGCTGGGTCAGACCAAAGGTCCTTCTAGCCCAAAATCCTGTCTTCCAACAGTGGCCAATGCCAGGTGCTTCAGAAGGAATAAACAGAAGAGGCAATCATCATGATCCTTGCCCATTCCCAGCTTCTGTCAAGCAGAGGCTAGGGACACCATCCCTGCCAATTCTGGCTGGTAGCCACTGATGGACCGATCCTCCTTGAATTTATTTTGTTCATATTGAAATCCTGTTATGGTTTGGACCTTACCACCATCTCCTAGAGAAGAGTTCCACAAGTTGACTGTGGAAAAATAATTCATTTTTTTGTTATAAATCTGCTGCCTACAAATTGAATTGAGTCACCTTCTTGTGTTACATTAGTGAATGAATAAATAATATTTCCTTATTCTATTTCCACACCATTATTTTCTAGCCCTCTAACATATCCCCCTGCCCTTAGTCATTTCTTTTTCAAGCTAAAAAAAGTTCCAGTCTGGTTAATCTCTCCTCATATGGAAGCTGTTCCTTACCCCTAATAATTTCTGTTGCCCTTTCTGAACCTTTTCCAAATCCAGCATATCTTTTTTATATGAGGTGATCAACTCTACATAAACTATTTAAGATATAAGCACAGCATGGATTTATATAGAGGCAATATTGTATTGTGTCTTAGCTATTCTTTGCCTAATAATTTCCAATATTCTGTTAGCTTTTTAGTTTTTAGTCTGCCATTGCACATTAAGTAGGTGTTTTCAGGAAACTATCCACAATGATTCCAAGATATCTTTCTTGCGTGATAACAGCCAGTTTAGACACCATTGTTTTTGTATGTATAGTTGGGATTTTATTTTTCCAATTGCTTTACTTTGCATTTTTCAACACTAAATTCCATCTCCCCTTGTTAACCCACTCACTCAGTTTGGTGAGATCCCTTTGTAACTCTTTGCAGTCAGGTTTGGATTAGTCACTGTTTACCCCTTTTTCAAGACTGCTCCCAAGTTTAAGAGCAGTGTTTTTTGTGTCTGAGATGCTACACAACCACACATTTAAAAAAAAAGTTTTTAAAAATTTAACCGTAGTGATTCTAGGGCAAATCCCAGCAGCCCAATACTCATTCCTATACTTTGCACCCTTCTAAGTTCCTGGCAGTGTTTTCATGATGCTCTAACTATTCTTCAAGTACTTGACAGACCACGCTTCTGCTAATCACTTGCTTCTTTCTGTTTATAAACAAACTCCCTGCCCCAAAGGCAAAGCTGCCAGTAGCTCAAACTCTTGCTGCATTTGAGCCGCCGCGGGAGTCAGAGCATGCTGCGGTAAGCAGACCTCAAGTTTGAAATCCTTCCCCCAAAGGCTGCACGGCGGCAGAGCGCGCGACGGGTCCCGGGGACCGCAAAGGTATGAGGAGTCACGTGAGCCGCTTTGCTCATAGGCCGCGCTGGTCTGCCAGTGGGCGGGGCTGTGCTATGCAAATGAGTTACTTCCACGGCGTCACGCCCCTCCGTCGTTCACTTGGCTTGACGGTGGCCGGGAGGGGCCCTTCCTTGTCTTCTGCTCCCCTCCCCCCTCGCAGAGCCGGCCGGGAAAGCGAAGCGGAAAAGAGAGCTGGGCTAGTGGCGATGTCCCTGAGTGGGGGCTGCACGGCCAGGAGTGCGCAGCCCCAGCGGGCCCGGCGCGGCCTCAGCCTGCCCCCTCCTCGGGTAGCGCGGGACAGGGCCCGGGCCTGAGCGCGCCGCCGCGGAGCCCAGAGGAGACGGGAGCTGCCGCCGGGCCGGGTCCGCCCGAG